TATTTACTAAAAACCCAAAAATGGGAGCTTGAGGTCTCATTGAGGAGTGGAGACTCAGCAAGATATTTTTTTTAATATATACATGAACAGAAGAAGAAATGCGGTCCCTGAAATTATACTCCTCTGCTGCTTCTAGTCAGCCCTGATAACATCAAAGGAAAGAGAGTTTGTCTATGGGGCTGGTGGTACTTCTCAGTTTTGCAACATCCTCAGTGGGTTCAACAACCCTGAGATGCACACAGTAGCCTCTGGTTTATTTATCTGGTGTCAGGATGGCTCCTATAACCTTTTATTTTCTCCTGGATGCTCGAATGACCTTTTATTAGCTTTTTATTTTCTACTTGAATACCTAGTTTCCAGCTCTCAGTTTTTCTGTGGCTTTCAAAGATATCCAACAGGGGCCACACTGAACAACCAATATGTCCAACCCTTTTCTCAGCTGGAGGGGGTTTGTTTCATTCAGGGTATGGGCATATTTAACATTTGCAATGCTTTGGTGCTTTAAACCTGCTATAAAACATGAAGGGCGAGATGATGCCTGGTGCTATAGCACTACAGATGTACAGTGTGCAAAATGACTGAATGAAGCAGGAACAACTGTGAAGCAGTTAAGATCATGTTTACTCTTCCTATTCTTTAAAAGATGGCCTTTCTGTAGTGGCCAAGACTATCAATAGAAATTACCCCCTGTTATCCAATTTCTTTTACTATTTCCAAGTTAGACTCTTGCAAGGAAACTGTATCTTCTGGTATTTTCTTTCCTTCTTGTGCCTGAAAACTCTTACTTCTGGAAAAAATAATCATTATAGAAAGGAAACAACAAAATAACTTATCATTCTTCTAAGTTTAGTAGGACTAGTCTGTACATTCTTGGTTATATCTAATATCTCTGGTTTCACATCTCCCAGGGTTTATAATCAAATATGAGACATTATAATGGAGGAACAAGGCAGATTACTTGTGTATAGCAAGATGGATATCTGATTCCTAAGGCAGACATATGGATGGACTACTTCTAATTTGAGATGACAGGCATCTGAAGGAACAAGAGACATTATCTGATTTGATTCAGGAGGCAGTCAAATGGACAGTTTGTAATTTTGGATGAAAACACATGAATTGGCCTTTGTGGCATCTAGGAGATAACCCTAACACAGCAAGCTGTTCCCAGCTAGCTTCATCTCACAGCTTCCCATCAACTCCTACCACAGATTCACAGTATATAATGACCACTTTGCAAAGGAAAGTAGGCTGTTACTTTGCACAGCAGCAGTTCAGACTTCTTTTCTTAACTAGGCCAGAAGAGAGAAGTTTTACCCAGGTCCTAAGTGTGGCAGATTCTTGCCTAAGTACTTAACACTAGTCTTCTTTAGTCATCTCAGGGCATCTTCACACATGCTCGGGGGTGGGGGGTGCTTTAATTAAAGCGGCTCCAAGAGGTACTGTGAAAGCACCCTCAGTATCACTTGTATTCAGTGTCCTGCACTTCAAAATGGCATCTGGGTCACTTTAGCTAAAGCTCATTCAACAAGATTTCGTTAAAGTGCCCCCACCACCATTTTGAAGCGCGGAGATGCTGAATACATGTGAAGTGGAGGCTGCTGGAGCATGCTAATTAGCACAGTCCAGCAGACTTGATTACTTTGCACACATCGGAACAAGAGTCTGGCACGTGTAGAGGTGCCCTTAATTTCTATTATTATTACTTCATCATCTTTCACTTTGGCTTGGCTATGATCATTTACCCAAACTGTATGGTGCCCTGTGGATTGGTCTTATTGTTTTTATGGTTTCTAGGTGGAGTTCAGACTAGGTACATTCTGTTTTGGGGTAAACCAAAGTGGACAGCTTTCCTGATTTTTGAGGGCTCTCTGCAACTCTCTCAGTAAGCATCATGAAGATGGGACCCAGGTCAAGAAGTCAAGATCAGGTCTGAACTCCCCCCCACGGTTGGGAGTGAACAGGTCAGGAGTTTGGTGAGGCCCATCTCTGACACGGCAGATGTCATGTATCCAGGGCATACACTGACATACAGGTTTTGGCCCTGTAGAACAATGGTCACATATTATCCAAACACCCACATGAGTGTGACCAGTACAGGGGGGAAAGTTTCTTGCCTTTGATCTCCCACACAACTCCTCTCCAAATGACATTTCAGACCATGTACCATCCCTCCCTGGCCACTGAGCCAGTCCCTGTGCCCCATTCATCTCCTCCCACCCAGCTCATGCATGGAGCATCTTTGCCACCTAAGCATGCCAAGCCCCCAACATACGACCAGATCCCTCTGGTAGATTCTCTCCTAAGGGGCTCTCCACTAGAAGAGTGGCAAATGATATAAGGCAGGAGTGCCCACGGGCGGATTTAGAATTTGGAAAGGGAGGGGGGGGGGCAGATGGTGAGATGAATCATCATGTATGAAACAGATTTTTCTCCAGTTAAAATAAACTAGAAGCTTTACTAATATGCTAGGGCCTTTGGCTGTACTGAAGCAAAAACAAATATAACTTCATTGGAATGAGTTAAAAGCAATCTGCAGGACTGTGAAATAGGAGCTTCAGGAGCAACTAACAGACAGCAGAATTGCAGAACAAAGGCTGGCTTGACTGGTGGAACATCAAGACCATTACAAAGAAGAGAGGGTCGTTACTACCTGTGGAATGAAGAGTTTAGAAGGGATCAGGTCGATAACAGTGAGCTATGAAGTCAATTGATTCCCTCAGCACGGCCTGGCCATTGGTTTTAAACTCTGGCTGCACCAGGAATCAGAGGAGGGTGCAAGTGCACCAGCTCACCCCCTGGACTTGCACTTGGGGGTGGCCAATCTGCGGCATGGGTGCTACAAGTGGCACAGGCAGCCTCTGTGTGTGGTACATGACAGACTGGGGAAGGAGCAGGCAGCACAGTGGTAGATAGGGCAGGAAGCAGACAGCGGAGCAGCAGATCAGTCAGGGAGCACAGGGTTGGAAGCAGAAAGAGCAGTAGATGGGGCATGAGAAGGGGATCAGAGTGGCACTTGGGCAGGAGGTGGGGCTAATTTGTGGCACACCTGCCGAAAAGTTTGGACCTCCCTAATTTAAGGAATCTAAAGGGAAGCCTCAGCCCACCAAGTTATCCCTTTTCTTTGTTTCCCCAGGCTACTCCATGGCTATCTTTAAAACCCTCAGTGTTCTTGGGTATTGTCCAAGGATGGCCTGAAAGAGAGTCAATAGACCCACAGTCTGTTTGCATCTCTACTACTGATTCACTGAGTATCCTGAGGCAAGTCTCTGAACCTCTCTTTGCCTCAGTTTCCCAATCTTTAAAACAGGGATGATGGACTGTCTCTTTCATTTGTAAATACCTTTTAGACCTACAGATGGAAAGGGTTGTATAAATGCTAACAGTGGTATATTTACATAAGCACTGAACTCCCACTTAATTTCAATGGCAAGTACGATCTTTGGGTATTTGGGCCTAAGCCTTATTAGCATGATTATTATTTTGCAGTGCTTGTAGTGGCCCACATGCTCTGTTAAACCAACCAAGTCATTCAGGGTCTGCTCCCTGGAACCCTGGTGTCTCATTTCAACCACAAGGCAATGAATGTAGGGAGTTTAATAAACGAATATGTCTAGCCTTGCCACCAAAACTTAGGAAGCTGCTATAGCTTCCTATCCAAGGAGCTGGCCTGGCTCTTGAAACCCAGGCAGACTGCTGTCCCTTTCATCCTGCTCATCATTAGCTCCCACATCATGTTTCAGGCCAGGCCACAGCAATGTAAATGGCACTGGGGAATAGCAGTGATAATAACCAAGAAAAGCAGCACCGTTTCAGTTTGCTGGCAGGATTTTCCTCTTTTGACCCTGAAACGCCGCCTCTGCAACTCAGCATCCTTTATCTCGAATGTGCAGGAATTCTTTCATGTCTAGGCCTGGAAGGGATTTCAAACAACCAAACAAACAGATTTGCAGCCAGTCGGATAATTAAAGTGGATCAGCCAAGTTCTGATTCTCTTTGTACTCTGGGCAAAAATTTAAGGGAAGGAAAACAAGAAAGGAGGATGGCTGTGGGGGAGACTAGGCTGTGGACACCGCCTGAATTCTGTCTCTTTTCCTGCAAAAATAATTCTCCAAGGGGAAAGCTTGGTGGTCAGGTATGTACACTCATCAACAGGAATGCAACCAAACTTCCCATATTCTGGGCTAGACTGGGACTGGGATTGTAGGTTTTACACTCTTAAATGGATTTTGGACACATGGGAGATAATAGAGCTACATTCCTGCCAGTGGGCATGTAGTGGTAGGAGCCATGGCTCCACTCCCTTGAGCCAAGTCTAGTCAGTTCATCTGAGCTAGAAAGGAGACTTTTGTATGGTTGGTACAAAGCAAAAGCAAATTGTTACCTTTCCCCACACTACAACTCACAGCAAAGGAGAGGAATTATAATTGAGAAGAAGTTATGCATTACCTCTTCCCCAGGCATGAGCCTAGAAGCATAATCTACTCCTGTATAAATCATCAGTAGTTACAGCATGCCCAGATTAATCTCCGAGAGACAAAGGATGGGAGGTTATTACCACTTCTTAGGCATGGTCTGAATAATCTGGGCACACTGAACCAAAATCAGCTAGATGTAAAACACCATTGAAGTTGCATTTGATTATACCAGATCTGACTGTGACCCATTTTTGCTCACCCCCTCCACAAGAAATCAAATCTAGTAGAGACCTAGGGAGGCAGAAAGAAAGCTTTCCAACCGTAAGGGTGCCTAATCAGTCAGCTGAGACATTTCAGAAATGCTTGTCTCTGCTCTTCCGCTTGCTGTGGGTGGGAAGGGATTTGCCCAATGAGCCAGTGATTCGTTGGGTTGTAAACTCATCCTGTTTGTTCTGAGAATGACTGGTTGTGGGAATGACTCTGTGGTAGGTTTTTGTCCCAGGTCCCAGCTGGGGCCTGGAATTAATAGGCTAAAACTCAGTGCTAATGTAAAGAGCTGGCAGATTCAGTAAAAGCATCTGTTTGAGCTGGATGTTTGCACAGTCCTCCGGCTCCTGCAGTCTCTTCCCAATCTCCCTCGGGCCTGAGCAAACCCTGCCATGGTGCCTGCAGGGATGATCTCCCTTCTGTCTGGGTAGGGAGCACTACAATTTATTCCTAGTAGAGTCTAGTCTTACTGCCCCAAATGTGGTGCGGACATGCATGCTTATTGTTTAACCTTCCCTTCTCTTTGCCTTTCCCAAGGCCTAGCCTTCACCTGTGAGCAGGCCAAAGGAGCAGGACAGCACAGCCCAGCCATCCTTCTCCCTGTTCATTATGAAGGTACCACTTCTAGATTGCCCCTCTTCTCTATAAAGCCTTTCACAGATTTGCCTATAGTTTATTTCAGTCTGCCCAGTCCCATTCCCTGCTTCCCTCCACCACCATCACTTGCAAAGTTTCACCCATCCCTTCCTAGTGTGACCTTGGCTGCTTTTGCAGTCTGTAACAGCCTCCCCCACCCTTCCTCCTCCACATCTCATCGTCTCTCCTTAGATTTCAGATGAAGACCTATGAACCAGACATGGACCCTGAATCCTTGGAGATCTGCTCACGAGAGAGGCAGAGATTCCTGTGCGTTTCTTCCTAATCCATCGTACTTGTTTTGCTGTTGACCTAACAAATCTGATATTTCTAGAGGTTATTCTGACTTCAAATGTCTCTATATTTGCACATTTCAAGCACTCTCATTTTTCCCCACAGCTGTCATCTAAAACAGTCTTGCTGCTGAAGGAGAGTGGGAGGGGAAAATACATACGGTAATAGAAAATGGCTGCTCCCTTATGGCATTTGTGTTTACTTGCCATGGGATAGGGAAAAACTCAGTGGTGGCAGCCCACTCCCCTGGCTCATGGAGACAATGCTTGCACCATTATTTGATGTGTGTTCCTGAAGCTTATGCCACAGGAAGTCAAGTCTAGTGGTTAGAGCAGGAGGGCTCTGTTCCAGACTATGCCTTGAACTTGCTGCATAGCTGTGAGAAATTCCCTTAATCTCATGCGTCTGCAGTAGTGAAAAGAGGATTATGCTGTGCTTAGTTACCCATCTTGTGCAGTGTCAGGCATCAGGGCACCCAGTAAACTAATTAGTCCCCAGCTGCCCCTGGTTACCTGCATGGGCCTACTGCCAATTGCCTAACAACCCCCAGCTGGCCCCAGTTGCTTGCATGGGACAAGCAGCAGCTCTTTCAAGATCCATTAGATTACTCTGTAGAATATACACCTCTATCTCGCCCTGGGCTTCTGGCTCCTTGCTTCTAGTTCTCTGGATGCTGCTTGTTGGCTTCCTGGCTTCACCTTTGGTCCTGGGTCCTGCCCCCCTGACCTCCGACTTACTGACTCTTGACCCTCTCACCCCTGTGCTTCTGGATCCACCCCAGACCCCTGTCTTCTGACAACTGGTTTGTGGCTTTAGTTTGGCAATCGCCCATTGCCTCTGTCATACCCATGATATGGGGTGAGGAGCTGTGAGCCACCAGGTAAAATGTGTTGAGGTCTGCAGATGAAAGGAGCTATGGGTGAGGGGGTGTAAAGTGTCTATTAGTAGTATGTCAGTACTCTTCATCTGTAATCTCAAAGCACCATGTTGAAGTAAATTAGAATTACTGCCACTGTTTCAAATGGGGAAAGGAAGCAGAGGAAAATGAGGGGACTCACTTAAGGTCTTACAGTGGATCAGTAGCAGAAATAAGAGTATGACCCACAGCTCTCTGCTCCATTGGCTGCCTGAGAATCCCCCAAGGATGCAAGTGCTGCTGAGTAAAGGTGACCCTATAAAATGAGAATAAAGCATTGGGCAGCTACAGAGTTAGTGTTTGAAGCATTGGGAAGCTACAGAGTTGTTAGTGTTTGAGTGCCCCATGGTAACCTAAAGGAGGGACTGGAAGGTGATCAGTGCATTGACTACATGTAGAGAATCCACCCACAGGACTGACTCCAGGATACAAGGCTGAGCTGGGTCCAGCTGGATCTGTAAAGAGGACTGTATGGAAATATACCTGCCATGTGCCATATTCCCTGTAGTGACAACTCTCCATCCATCCATCTGGGTGTCTATACCATGATCATCACAGGAGTAGCTGAGCCCATTACAAAATGTCACTATTTTTTCAAACTGGTTATAAAAATGTTAAACTGTTTTAGGAATTGCATTCGGATTTCCTATAAACATTTCAAAAAGTATATAGGAAAATAATCCTGGAAGAAAAAGAATCCGTTTCAAACACTGCAAAAGAATAACAGGGTTGCTCTTTCATTTTTGCAGAAACAAGTTTTGTCTTTTAGCCACTTCCTTCCAACTCCCAAGCTGGATCCCTGACAGTGACCCACCCCATACCTTCAAAGCCTCTCTGTCAGTCCCAAGGAGTTACAAGATACACACTGCCTTAAGGACAGAAATGGTACAGGGGCCTGTTCCAGCTCAGTGCAAGATCTGTCCTGCTCTTTGTCCTGAGATGATGGCTAATCCCAGGATGAGGAGGAGGGAGGGGATTTGTGTACTGGGCTGGCAGAGCTAACCCAGATCAACACGCAGACAATTCCAGTCACCAGTACCAAACCACAGCCTGCAACTTTGAAACCCAAGCAATCACTGCTGCACACCCCACTCCAGCTGTTCTCAGTGGGATCAGAGTGCAAGCAAAGGCAAGAGGTTACGGCCTCAGGAGTCCATGGAGTCTTGACGTTCCCACAGCACAGGAGGACAGATGGCAGTGAACCTTTTGGCTAGACCCACTCCCATTACATAATAGGCACTGGCAGCAGGCAACATTTGGCCTGTGGGGCATATGCACCATAATCTGATGTTCAGTCGGTTTAGCACAATAAGCAAAACAGGCTTTGGACTGTACTGACTGAGACCCCAGCCAAAGTGGATTGTGTCTCAAAGCTTTGCATCTTCTTACAATGGAGCTGGAGGCTTTCTGTACTTGCTCCTTTTCTAGTTTCTTCACTGCACTGCCTGGACACTCTCACTACATTCATCAGTCATCTCCATGTCCCCTTGCTCTACACAGGTCTCAGCATTCCCGATGAACCACTGCAGGCAGGGCCCATGGAGGAGGAAGGGCTTGACTAGGCTGGGCTCCAAACATTGGCCCAGAGCCCTCGAGTGACTTTCAAGAAGTCTAGTTACACCCCTGAGAACTTCAGGAAGTGCCAGGCATCAAGGGAAGATTTATATTTTGGCAGCCAACCTGTTGAGGCCCCATTCCCATATTCTCCAGAAAACAGACACACTTCCAGGAAGATGCTGTGACTGAACTCCCTCATCTCCAGGTCAAATCAAGACAGAGAAACATTTGGCAAGCTCGTGTGGTGGTCACCGTCATGGCTGACACCACAGATTGGGCTGGAGTCCTCCAGAGCCAAAAATGCATAAGCGGCTATGGTTTGAGTGAAAGCGTCATGCGGTTCCAATGGATACCAGGTTTGTGACCTTGGCAGACGTGGCCCAAGGGTGCCAGGTAACACATACTGCCCAGTGGGTCAGAGTTGCTCTGCCTGCCCTCAGCAGGCTCCATTCCCTGGGATTTTTCCGCTTGGCTTCTTTTGCTAGTGCTACCTTCACTTTAAAGGAGAAAGAAAAACACGTTTTTCTTCTTGGTTCGAGAAGGTTTTTAGATCAAAGGTCTGAGCAAGGGAGGCAGCAAGCAGTGACAGTTTGGGAAAAACAAAACTGAAGGAACATTTTGATCCTGTCAAGAAACATGACTGGTGCATTCAGAGACCTCCCAGACCTTTGGCTTCATGTTTTCTTGTGCTGATCCAGGAAAGAAACCATCTCTGCTGACAGAGCTAGAGACACTGGGTGCATAATAGAGAGGTTATGTTCAGACCCTCCATTGGATGGAAGACATGAATAGAAGTGAGGACCTAATAAAGTGACTTGGGATTTGGGGAGCTTCAGTTCTGGGGCGTTGTGTTTGAGCTACCTCCAAGAACCCTGGTGTTGTGAATGTGTCAAGCATCTGTGCTCTTCAAAACCAAGCCCTTCTCAGGGGTCTCACGTCAGGCACCCACCATCACTAATTTCTTTTGCAAACTTAGGCAGCACACAAACAGATCACATGAGCTGGGCTTCACCACAGCATCCCTAGCAGCAGAAAGAGCCACCAGTCCAGTCAGTAGCAGGTGCCAGTGAAGAGGTGCTGGGCTGGCCACTGACTGTGACAGCTGAGGCCAATCCAGTAAGGGGGTCTGTCTGATTACCCATGCAGCCATACCCTGATGGTCTTACTGGGAAGAGGTGATCAACTCACAGAACAGCTTAGATGAGAGACAGGTGTCTGTGATAGATGGAGAGACATGTATGGGAACCCAAGTAGAAGCATCTGGGGACACAGGCTGCGTGGTGATGTCTGTGCAAGTGTGTCGTTCCAGTGCCTGGCCAGGCCCCTCGCCCATCCTCTGGGTGACCTCCTCAAGACAGCTCAGCATTTTCTTGCAGCTCAGAACTGGATGCAGACAATGCTCGCCCATTCACTCACCAGCACTCACCCAGGTGATAATGGCCATACAGAGGCTGGGCCTATATAGAGAGGCTGTAAGTTGGTTATCCGTGACTCCTGTCTGTATTGCACCCTGCTCACTTGTCTACTGCCTCGCCTCCAGCATCATCACAACTCTGCTTCACGGCTTCCCTGCCTCATAGTATCATAGAGTTGGAAGAGACCTCAAGGAGCATCACTTAGACTGGGGTGGCCAACTTGCAGCATGCATGTCGCAAGCGGCACAGGCAGAGTCTGGGCATGGCACATGGCAGACCAGGGAGAGAACAGGCAACACAGCAGCAGATGGGGTAGAAAGCAGGTTGGACAAGGAGCACAGGGCAGGGAGCAGAAAGCAGAACAACAGATTGAGCAGGGGAAGGGGTTTGGTGTGGCACTCAGGGAGGCTACAGGACTAGTTCATGGTATACCTGCCAAAAAAGTTGGCTCCCACTGATCTAGTCCAACAGCCTGCACAAATGTCTATCCAGCCTCTTGGAAACGTCCAGTGAAGGTTTCCCTGGGCAACCTGTTCCATTGTCCTACTGTTCTGATGGGAAGTTTCTTTCTAAGATGTCATCTGAATCTACTGCAGTTTAAACCCATAAGATCTTATCAGTTCACTGGGCCCCTTTTGCTCCTGTCGCCATGCTGACTTGTGGGGGTGACTGGGCTTGGGGCATCAGGGCTGCTGTATTCTTTGGCCTCGCAATCAGCACTTCTTACTTCTTGAGGACGTGCTCCCTTGCAGCCCACACTCACTGAAACAAGCACCACCTGGTCCTGCATCTCAGGAGATGGTTGCAAAGCACAGCATCACACTCTGCCTCTCAGGTTGTTATAGTGCTATGGGCAGAAGGCAGCACACCCACACCTCCTGTTTCAAACACCCCACCCCCTCTTTATGGTGGCAATCAGTTCATGAGAGCATCATTTATGGTCTGGGATATGCTGAGCCCCCAGCTTCTGGCCAGCACAGCAGAGGGATGAACAGTCTTACCCAGGTGCTCAGTACATGGGTTTCTTTTTCTCCACTGGAACAGGTGGAGGGTGCATCAGTGAGGTCCAAAGGCAGGGTCCAAGTGAGGGAAATTCATGGGGGGCCCAAATCCTACATTCCTGGTAGATGTAAAATGTCTGCTGGCTTTGACGGGTGTTTGGGCTGACAAAGGAATCCAGTCTATGCCCCAGGGCAAGGATACAAGCCTTGTCCCCAATGGGACATGTAGCTCCCCAAGGTTGCAGTTCTGCCAGTGGCTGCAATGGTGGCAGGTTGTAGTGTAGCCAAGGCTCAGGCATTATTTTTAACACTGCATACATTACATACAGCAGTGAAATGCATACCCAGTAAAACAAACCTTGCATTGTTCCTGCCCTGAAAGAACAAGCTGAGTGACACAAGGCTGCAGCTGGTCCCTCCAGCATCGCATCATCTTTTGCATTAGCTGGCAGGATAGTAAGCTCATTGATGCTGGGCAATTTTTTCCACGCACGCATTAGGGTAATCAATTAAGTTTCTCAGCAGCTTCCTCCAGCATTCAAGCTTAGGTGTGTGTGGAAAGAATTTGTTATTCTAGGCACTGCTGGGAAAGCATGAACTGTGCTGAAGGAAAATTGGTCGCGCTTTTCAAGCACTGATATTTCTCTTACCAGCTTAGCTACCTGGTTTCCCCCTTCATCTCCTTTGGACTCCCCAAGTCACCTGGAGGTCCAGCCCTCTACCCCCATCATATTCCTGTTTAACAGGGGATGCTTCCTGAAATATTTAATCAGTGCTGGGTTGCAGCTAGGCAGTTTTGGTGCTGGGGGTCAGGGTCACTGAATGTCCCACCTGAAGGACTAGAGCTTTGTATGTCATGATGGGGTCTTCTACGTAGTGGTGAGGTTGAATGTTGCCTTGCTACCAGTTAGCTCTCTGCTCTCTTTCTTGTTCTGTCCTGCTGATAGGGATCGTTGCATGCCTCCCCCCTGAGCCATATCCAGAAGTGGATGACATGGAGTGGCCTCAGCTTACTTGGGGACAACGGGAGTAGGACTGGTTCCAGGAGTCTGCAAAGGGCAGGTTTCAGAAGAGTGTCCTGGCACATGCAAAATTACCAAGGTGACTTTCTTCAGCATCATCTGTCATGGGGAACCTTAAGGGAACATGCCATGTGCAAGATCACTGGTGAGAGCTGTGGGAAGGGCAGTGAGAAGCAAGGCAGCTGGTGGCCTTTGGCATGTGGGGCCCGAGCTGACTAGTCAGCTTGAGACAAAGTGCAGAAACCAGCCCTAGGCACGTGCCAGAGAGAGCCCAGCCAAAGCTTTCCCTCTGTCCCACCGTGCTTTGCCTCTGGCAGGTCCACCAGTGTCACGTGGGCAGTGCGAACCCCAGAATGAGGGCCTGGCTTATCCCTCACATAGGCCAGTGTCCCTCCATATACTTCTCTCCTCATTTAATACAACTGCAGAGGCAAATCAGGGCCTGAACTTCACTCTGTCCCTCACCCTTTTTCTTTGTCTTCTCTCCCCAATAACCTCTCTTTTCTCTCATGCTCCTTGTTGTTCTTCTCCCTCCCACCCTTCCCCTTCCCCTCCAGATCAGAAATGGCAGCTGTTTGAAGTATATGCTGCTGCCCGGAGACACTCCTCAATCCTCGACTCTTTGACAAGCTGGAATGTGAAGCGGAAGCAAAAGGATCCCAGGTGTGGGAGGTTCAGGTGGAGGCACTGAGAACCAGGGAGGAGAAGGATGGTGGATTTGGGGTATTCTTGGCAAGACGATGGCTGACAGAGGAACAGCGGCTTCTCCCAACTCAGCTACACCCTGACTCTCCGCTCACAGAAATGGGGAGATGTTTTTATCAGTAGTGATATCAATGCAACGGCTTAAGTATGGGAGCAGCAGAGCTGCTGGAGTCAGGAGAGGCAGCCAAAGTTTATTGGGAACTCAGCAAATGACACAACATGCTTGCTCCCCACACTGCCTCCTCCTTGTGTGGCCTGTTACACGCATGCCTGAACGCCAAGGACACACTTGGACAAAGAATGGCATTTCTGGAGCAGAACTACTGGGAGTGCTGATTTGGGGCTGGGCAGCACCTTAACATGCTGCCATCACCCCTGCTGGAGATAGGAACCCTGCCCATTTTATTCAGGGACTGATCTGTTGAGGCCAGAAAACAAAACCCCAGAATCCTGATTCCAGTCCCTAGTTCCACCCAGCAGACGACCCTCTGTCCCCAGGATTAGCAAGGGCAATCACCTGAGATTTCTGGGGGTCATTCAGGCTCTGGGGGGACACTGCTTAGCACACATATGCAGGAACTAAATTAAAAGGTGGATTTCATTTTATGAAGTTCTTTGAAAGGCTTGGAATTAGGGAAACGGCTACTCGAGTGGTGAAATATCATGTGAAATTCAGGAGAATCTGAGATCCTCTGAGGAACGCGTAGCAGCCAGAATTAATCGTAATGTCTCACTCCACGTTAAATAATGGGGCATTAAAAATTGCATTGGAATGAATAAGGCAGCCTATGCTGTGGCTTCCAGTAAGAGGGATGCTACGAGAAAGACCATAAATCCACTTTGATAACACCCTTGGGATGGAGACGGAGACAACGTTTCCTGCATTGGAACACCAGACCACCAAGAATCCAGTGATGTAGACACAGGGCTGCACTGAGAATTAGGACCTGCTAATTCCATAAGGGCTGGATTTTGGAGGTTGTCAGACATGCAAAGATAATACAAGGCTAAATCCACTGCTGGCATAATGCCACTGTCTTCAGCAGAGCTGTCAGGGAAGAATTTAGCCGATTGATTCTAATTTTCAGATCTGCAGAGCTCACATTTTTATAGACCTGGCAGAGGTGAAACAAGTGAACCAGGAGGGGAGAAGGTAGGTCAGGTCCCCTGAAATCCGGCCACAAAAACTCTGCATTGTTCTCCAGGGAGGTAGAGCTGGTGCTAGGGAGAAACACCCAGGACAACTGCCCAGGGCTCCAAACCATGAGGACCCTCACTAGGCTAAGATGGTGCAAGCGATCTCAAGTGTGTGGGCAAGGAAGGAGGGGTCTACAGCTGCCCTGGCTCTCCAGGGATGTGCCTATACAATGGCAGCTGAGAGCTCAGATGAGACACCTGGGGGAAGCCCCACACACCTGCTCCTGCTCTGCCCATGACCCCCAGAAATGAGACTGTGACAATACCCTAGGTATATCTCATTCTTGACTACATGGGAACCCCAAGTCCTGAGCTTGGGGGTAGAGGGGCTCACCAGTTGTTCCTGGACTGGGTGGATAGGGTTCATTCCTGCAGTGGTACCAGTGTCTGCTGCCATGGTGTAAACCTGCCCTGGGCTGGCTCTGCACAGAGGGTGAAGAGTGTTCCCTGCCTACAGTCAGTCCCGGGGCATTCTCAGAAACTCGCGGGGGCAGTGAGCTAAAATGACTGGGAGGCGGATTATTTAAGTGAATGAAGCAGCCTCTGGATGACAGCTGGGAATACTGAGCACAGAGGACACCCAGGATGTAGCCTGGCTTTGTCTGGAGCACATGCCTATGCCAAGTTACATCCTGCGCTTACTCCTTCGGGGGCTGATCCCACAACACTCCATGGTCCTCTTAGAAACAATTCTTGCTAGTGACTCACATGAAGGCATAGGTGCTGACTTTTATTTTTGCTGGGGGGGTGCCTAATATGATGCCCCCCACCCCCAGCATGCCTGGAGCAGAGCCAAGTGTAGCCCAAGGGGTGAGGGGGGGCAGGTGCATGTCTCAGGGCTCCCTGCCCTGCTGCCCTCCCCCAGGGAGCCCCATACTGGCCGTGCCGCCATGGCAAGGTGCCTCCTGCCCATCTGGCAGCAGAGGCAGTGTAGCGTTGTGCCCTCTGCTGCTGCCAGGTGGCCAGGAGGCACCTCACCATGGTGGTGCGGCTGGCACCAGGCTCCCAGCAGTGGCACCGAGCCTCCCCACCCTGCTGTGCCGTGGAGGCCCTGGGGGGAGGGTAGCAAGGTGGGAAGCCCTGAGCCCACAAGCAGGTAGCCTGCATCTGTACCTGCCCCGCACACAAATCTGGAGGGGATGCACCCTCCATACTGCCCTTCCCGGGAGTTTGCACAATGGCAGGAAACTGACTTCCCCCCACCCCAACCCCCTGATCGAGCCGCCTGTGGCTCTGTCCTGCTCCCCGCCCCAACCTGGCTCCCATGCATCACCCTGGCTGGGCAGCATGCCCAGGCCCAGCTCCTGCCCCACTCCCTCCCTCACCATGGGGGCCTTAATCTGTCCCCACCCCCATAGACTTACAATGTGGGGAGCTGCTCTCCACCACTGCCTGGGGCTGTTTTCCTGGCCATGTGCGTGTGTGCGCACACACTTGCACATGGTGCCCCATGTCCCACTCCCCGCAGCCCCTTGCAGGCTGGAACTGTGCCAGCCTGCAAAGGAACCCCACCATTTCCCATGTTTTTCTGTGGTGAATGGAAACCCCAGATCCCTGCGATATACTGGGAATCTGGGACAAATGCTGTCCCAGAGCCAGGCCGCCTGGGACCAGGACTTAATGTTCCCATTTCAGGACTGTCCCCCAGGTGGTCACTCTACCCTCTTCCCAAGAGGGCCCGGGGCCCTTGGGTCCCCATGTACTCAGCGTCTATGCATGGAGGCAAATTAGACAACTCCTCACGTAGGCGTGAGCCTGGGCGTAGATCCCCTCTTTCTCTTTCTCTTTTGTTATAACGTGGAAGGCAAGTTTGTTTCAGGAACCTTTCAGCAGGGGATTTATGGAGGTTTAAAGACACGTAACCAATGGTCCCTCTCAGCAGTTTCCATTCCTCTTCCCCTGTCTCCCACAGCTAGGACTGTTTGATAATCACCAGTTTCAGGTTTTCCCTCCATGCCTTAGCACAATGCCTGCTAAAGTGCAGCTGGGGCAGGGGCCACTTTCTGGAAGCTGAAAGAGGAAGGAGAGGAAAGAGGAAAACGCAGCTGACCCCCCCTGTAGAAGGCATAGGAGTCATGCAAACAGTTAAAGAATCGGGGCATCCGTGCCTGCCCCATCTTCCCTGACAGGCTGGCCTCCCTAGCATCCTCATAAATGAGAAACCGTATAAACCTCGCACTCCATTATTGCCACGGAGAATTAGAGTCTCTCATTTAGTATAAACATTTTCATCTCCAGCAGAGCATGAATAACATTAAATGAGATAGTTTAAATCTTTGGGGTCCAATATAGCCCTGGTGTAACTGTGTTAGAGTTACGCCAGGGATGAATTTGACCCATAGAGTCTGAGCTGCCTTTCTAAAGAGGGTTTCCAGGGTGGGTAATTACATTTGTCTCTAAATTTCTCCTGAAGTTTTAATTGGATACAATGGGTCTGATCCTTGGCTGATATGGGCTATCCTCATTTCCAGGAACGTCTGGGCCCAGGGTCTCCCCCGACTTCTTAGGGTTCTTGCGTACCATGAGACTCCATCTCCCTTCCACCCTTGAAGTGGTTGTCCTGATCCTGTATATTGTACCCTTTGGAATACACTTTGGGATGAAAAGCACAGTAGAGCAATTGGACAACACTCAGTAGGTCCCTGTGCTGAGTTTTTCCTTTGCTTTCCTTAATTTAAGTCTTAAGGTTATATGTCTACACGGCAGTCGTTGCTGTGAGGGTAGTGCAGCGTAGACACACTTGAGGTTGCTTTAAACTCTGTACCTCAGGCGTGGGTAGCAGTGTAGCCCCAGCAGCATGGAGCTTGCTTTACAGGATCATAGGAAGCAGGGCTGGAAGGGACCTCTTGAGGTCATGTAGTCCAGCCCCCTCCTCAGCGCAGGATCGACCCTAAGCCATCCCATCCAAGTGTCTGTCTAGCCTGTGCTTGGAAATTCCAGGGATGGAGACTCCACCGTTTCTCTAGGTGGCCTGATCCAACGCTCAACCACCCTCAGAGTCAGAAAGTTCCTCCTAATCTCCAACCTAATTTCCCTCTGCTGCAGTTTGAGGCCAGTGCTCTGCACCCCGTCCACTGCAGCTGCAGAGAATGGTTTCTATCTCCATCCTCTCTATAAGCTCCCTACTGTTATCAACTCCCCCCTCAGTCTGCTCTTCTCCAGATTAAATAATCTTAGTTCTTTCAGTCCTTCCTCATAAATTACATTTCCCCGGCCCCTAATCATTTTGGGGCCTTTGGGGCATGCTGCCAGCGTATTTATTTATATTTACCCAGCTTCTCAGGAGGAGTTTGCTGTCCACACAGTGTCCTGTGCATCTGTGATCATGCTGGTGGTGGTACCCATGCTGACCCAGTTATGCCAAGACTGTGCTGAAGTCACGGCAGCGGCTGCCATGTAGACGTCCCCTTGGAGTGTGACGTTGTCTTCCAACAGAAAAAGCCTCCTCCATTTTGCCCTCCATCTGCCCCTTTATCAGCAAAACCTGGTGACCTGGAAAGGTGCAGAAGTGAAGCAGACACACAAAGTGATAGTCAACGTCAGAGCAGAAGGTGAAGATGAGAGCGTGTCTGATTCAAAATGGAGTAGGGGGTGAGGCCATGCCGCTCACATCCGTTGAGTTCTGGTTTCAATCGCATGTAAGCAGGGCTCTTTCGAGGGCTGTAAGCAGGAGCAGAATTTGACCCTGGTGATTTGTTTGTAAATGGGCTTAAACTAAATGCAGCCTCATTTTGTAAACATCCGTGCCTGTAGACCACCATCGTTGCTGATGCGAGCGCAGCTCTGACACGTTGCTGTCAGGCATCTTCTGTTGTCCTTTATACCAGGCAATACAACATGCTACAGGAGCATTTTGCTCCAATCTTGCCCAAGTGTAAACGAGGTTGCAACGGCACTGGGTGACTCCATCCAAAGAGCCTGATTCTCAGTGGGGAGGGGATAGTGCTGAGAGGGGCATAGATGGCATCTTTGCACTCCTTCAGCATTGCTGACCGCTGTAATTGAATTAGTAGTCTTGTGAAAATGTACGTTTATGAAAGCCCTGGTCATTGGAGGCAGGTGACTGGGTGAAAATCTCAGCTTTTACATCTGGTATGTAGCCCTTGCGGTTGCAGAGTGTTCTTGCATGTAACCTAGAGTTTCAGAAACCAGAGAACAAGCCAAATGAGGCCAAATCTATTGTATTTTTTTAAATCATGATTTTGAACCTCCTGACGTTGGGGCCTTGCTGATATATCTGTAACTCTTTGGGGCTGCAACACTGCATATTCTGGGTCATCCAGGGGCTTTCCTGGCTGCCAGTGTGCGTTGGAAGAGCCTTGAGGCTGCTCTAACTTTCTCACGGCCCCGTGGCCCATAGGAAGCAGGGGGAAGGTGCATTGCAGGGCATTGTCACTACACTCCTGACACAACTCAGACAGAGCAGGGGCAGGGATGGCCATCACCTGTGCAGCGTCTGTTCTCAGATGGCTGCACTCTCTTAAGAGCCAATTTATCCTACAAGAGAAGCATCCGCAGACCTTAGCAGAACTGAGAGTTGGGCCCCGAAGGTTTTTAAACAACTGCTGCTATGAGCCAGCACAGGAAACAAGACAGCCCAAGGCACCTGGAGTCAAATCCTGACTTACAGGTGCAAGTGGGACAGAAGGTGACCTTTCTTGTGTAGGTCCTATCCTAGATTCAGGTCTATTTACTTTGGGGAGGGGAAAAAAATAAAGCCTGGAAAGTTTTCCCCCACATCCCTTTCCCATGTAATCGTGGTGTTAATGGAAGTCAGATCTTGGAGCTTACATTCTTAGTTGCCACATCTGCTTCTAGAGCCTCTGAACTCTGCTTTGATTTTACTGCCATTCCCCTTGAAGACACCTCAAAGAAGCACACACAGCTGCAGTTCTTAATGATTTCCCTTGGTTCATTGTGTATTAGAGGTCCGTCTTTCATTTTCTCCCATCCTGCT